ACCTTTGGAATTGTAGTGCAACTTCTTGCCGTTAGGCCACCAGAGCTCCCTTGAATCTGAATTTTAAACAAATATCTCAGTTAAAATTCAGATTGTCAGCTGACTGCACTCCTCAAAATACTGCCTTAATACTGCATAGTGCCACTGTTGTAAAACAGGACTGACATCAGGGTTGCGGGGGAAGACTGAGAAAGATGGAATAAATTATGTATACTGCATTGAAACAGATGAGGGAGAGAACTGTTTAAAAGTGATATATGATTAGGTATTTTTGTCATGACAGGAGTCCAGAATGAAGGCTGCATAGTGGAGTGGACCTGGGGGGAGGGATTGTATAACAATGAAAGAGTTTTACTTTTCAAAGGGTGGGCAGGGAGAAAAATGCAAAAATGAATGAATGGAAATCCAAAGTCTCTGTAAACTTTCATTAAAATTAATAATTTTTAAAAAGTGAGCTTGGAGAGGGGGAAGGGAAGGGGTTAAAATGTGCAACAATGAATGAATGAAAATCTAACTTCTCTGTAAATGTTCATTAAAATCACAACTAAAATAAAATTTTACTAAAAAACAAACCAGTAACAACAAAAAAAGACTGCCTTAGATTTTGTTCTTATTTCTATTCTGTCTAGCTTTGAAATAGCCACTGCCTGCTCAAGTCTGGCTTGTTTCAAACATGTTCTTTATTGAAGGATTTATTAGCATCCCTGCTTATTACCTGCTTCATTCTCACAGCATCACAGCCGCTAAAGAAGCAGCTGGATGCGGTTAGCCCCATTTTACTGGCAGGGGCCTGGGCTAGAGGGATAGGGAATAGGCAGAGCACATGGTGAGTCAGACAGAGGTGGGCACTGAAGTCTGGAAAACCAGAGCATTTCTGCGGCCCATTTGCTCAACTGTGATTTCATATTTAATTAGTTATTCCTTACACCTCTGGTTCATTGTGTTTGGGTAGACAAAACTTATTTGAGGGTTTTGGGGTTGTTGAGGTTTTTTTGTTTGTTTTAAAAAACACAGCTTATTATTTTGGGCTGATTGGCAGCATTATGATAGATGGTGAAGAGATTGAGATTGTTAACAGCTTTAGTTTGCTTGGTTCCACAGTCAACACTCTTTGTACCAGCAGCCAGGAAATCAAGAGACAAATTGCATTGGGAAATTTGGCTGTCAGGGACCTCTCCAGAGTACTGAAGAGCAACGTCAGTCTGGAGACTAAGATGTGCTTGATCTAGGCCATAGTCTTCATGGTTGCTTACTATGAATCAGAGAGCTGGACAATGACTAGGGATGATAGAAAGAGAATTGATGGCTTTGCACTGTGATGCTAAAGAAGAGTGTTCAATAAACCATGGACTGCCAGGAGAGCAAACAGGTTTGTCTTAGAGAGGGTGAAGCCAGGCTGCTCCTTGGAGGCAAGGATTCTGAAGTTTCATCTGACATACTTGGGGCATGTTTCAAGGAAAGACCAGTCCTTGGAAAGGGACATCATGCTTGGAAGGGTGGAGGGGCGGAGAAGGAGAGGGAAACCATCAAAGAGAAGGACTGATACAGTGACTGAGGTAATGAGGGTAGGTGTCAGAGACAGTAAAGTTGGCACAGGATAGAGCGGGTTTCAGGGCTGTTGTACATAGGGTCACTATGAGTCGCAAGCAACTCAACTGCACATAACAACAGCAACAGTTATCACTATACCAGTTTGTTGGTTTTTAAAAAATATATTGTGCCTCTTCTAAAATTTGAGTTTATATGCTGTTGTTGTTGTTGTTGTTGTTGTTTTTGTTATGTGTCATCGAGTCGCTTGCGACTCATAGCGACCCTATGTACAAACAGCCCTAAACTCTGCTCTGTTCTGTGCCAATCGCACTGTCTCTGACATACCCATTCCGGTTACCCCAGTCATTGAATCAATCCACCTCATGGAGGGCCTTCCCCTCCTGCGCTGTGCCTCCACCCTACCAAGCATGATGTCCCTCTTCAAGGACTGATCCCTCCTTACAACATGTCCGAAGTATGTTAGACGGAGCCTCAGAGTTTATATGTAGATGATAATAAGTGTGTAATCCACTCAATCTACCTCTCTCAAACTTGCTTCATATTTTTTGCATAAAGTATAAGGGAACAGATTTCTCCTCCTCATGCCAATAGGAACTCCCTTGGTTAGACTTCCTAATTAGTGAAGTATTAAATGAAAAAAAATTATTATACTATTTCTCAAACTTTAGTGTATAGATCCATTTTTAAAGGAAAATGCATCCTGAAGCCTCTCCAGTTAGCATTGAGTCAATTCCAACTCCATGTAGACCCCTTTGTATCCAAGTACAGCTACGTTCAAGGTGATTTTCAGTGGCAGGTAATGTGGAAGTAGAATTGCCAGACTTTTCTTCTGAGGCTCTTTTGAATGTACTTAAACTTCCAACCTTTTGGTTAACAGCCAAACACATTAACCATTTGTATTATGCTGAAGTTCTCTCAAGAAAAATCACCCAAACAAAAATTCCCCTTCCTTTCCTGTTGAGTTGGAACCAACTCATAGATGATCCTCCAGCAGGTTTCAGAGGCTGTAAATAGCAAAGGAGGAGATTACACTCCTTTCTTCTGTGGAGCCACTGGTGGAGGCAGACTACTAGCAAGGCTTTTGGGTTTGCAGAGCAATTCTGTAAGGACTATACTAACTTCTTTTTATTCTTTTTATTTTGTACCATCAACTGGGAACTGATCTATATAGCTGACCCTCTGGCTGGTTTTATGAGGTAATTAATCTCACGGGAGGAGATTGCCCATCCTTCTCCCTCAAAGCAGCTGGTGGTTTCGAACTGTGTATAGACGGCACATAACAACAACAACATCTTTAGGATTGCAGCACAACTTCTTACCACTAGGCCACCGGAAGACCTCCCTGGTATATTTGTGGGGTTTTTTTTCACCAATACGAGAGCTCCCTATTTTTTTTTTTTATTACATTTACTTAAATTTACAAATATCAGCTAGAGTTATACAGTTCTTTTATTTGATTTTGGCTTTGGATACAACAAAGATCAGAGCAAATTTACAATCAAATAAATACAAAACTACAAAACAAATATGATTCATATTAATAACATTATGGCAGTTTAATGTGACATATGAAGTTGTTCTGCTGATATGAAGTCATTCTTTGCATTGTAACTCTGATATTGCTCAACATCTTTTGTATTCAGGAGCCTGTGCTCCTGAGTGGCTTCTGGAATTTAAATTTTCCCGTCTTTGATAAAACTTCTTCTTTTTTTTTTTAAAGAAGAATTTTTTTTAGATGGTTTTTTTTTTAATTTTTTTTTAATTTTTTATTATTTTGTGTGCGTGTACCGTCAAATCAGATCTGACTGGTACAGGAGGATATTGCGCCTCCTTCTCCAGCAGAGCATCTGGTGGATTCGAACCGTGTTCCTCTGGGATTGCAGTGCAGCTTCTTGCCACTAGGCCACCAGAGCTCCCCTTGATAAAACTTCTGAGACAGTGCAGTCCCATGATGTCATATGGCTTTCACTTTGCAAATGAAAGTATAATATTTGTTTTAAATCCACCATTATTCTTTCTTCAGATAATCATCATCAGCAGCAGCAGCAACAGCGGCACTGAAAACACACTTTCAAATGCAGGTACTGCAATTGTGCAGTGATAGGCTTATAAAGTGGTTACTCAGGATATACTTACGCAAACCTACAGAAGGAAAACCCTAGAGAAGACATCGTCAGACCTAATTTGAGAAATACTTTTCAGGTTCATTGGTTTTCAAGCTTTCGCAGCCACCAAGCATCCAATTAACTGTGGTTTGCTTCCAAGAAATCCCATGTTGCACGTACTAAAAATCTTTTCTAACTCCATGCTTTCCATTCCGACCAGACGGATAGCTGACCCTCCAGAGGCTTCTCAGAGGCTGCACACAACACAAGAGGAAATAGCCCATCTTCCTTCTGTGGAGGAGCTGGGTGGATTCAAATTCACCCACAGAAGCACCAACCACCTTTGGGTTAAAAGGATAACTCGCTCTGGATTTAGCCACCAGACCTCCTATTACAAATCTTAAATTTTAATTATTCAGACACACAGCTTACCATTACAGAGTTTATGATCAGTGTATGTAATTACAACTTTTGAGTTGCTTACATTCTGGTTCACAATAAAACTTAAAAAAAGGCAGGACATTCTGGGTCCTTGCTCCCTGCACAAGAGCACATAGAAGCTTCTTCTCCGTTGGTATCGTAACTCACATACTTCCCTTCCTTCCATCTTCTTCATCATTCGAGGATTCTTGGGGTCTGAGGTCAGGGTAATATATTCTTGTCCCCAAGCTAATTAGCCACCCCACCCAATTTGAAAAGATCAAGTCTTGCCTCCGTTTCACTTGATTCTTTCTTTTACGTATAGCATACTAAAAAAATGGGATGAAGAAAATACAACGGAAGGCACCAAGATTGAAAAAAAACAAACCCAAACCCAACCCAAGAAAGCAGCATGTTTTTAACAGCTTGCGTGGAGAAAAGTGGAAAAAAATATTAACTGGGGATTTTAGACAGCCCTGTTCATCTTCTCCCACTGCCTGCGCTATTTCTTTTGGAGCAGGAGCCAGAGAACACTCATTCTGGTGGAGAAGGTGCCAAGATTTTTGCCCCTCAGGCCCTGGGCACCTGCTGTGACCGGCCAGAGGCCTGGGAGGACACAACAGATCACTCCAATTGGTAGGTCAATCTAAGGTAGGTCCTTGGCCCCTTCAGATCACAACAAGTAGGATGAGTTCCTGCTGTAGCTTCATTGGGCTATTATTTCTCTTCCGACCCAACTTCTGGTGTTGACTAGAAACCACAATCCACCTCCACTAGCCGGTTCCTTGCATGGCCTCAGCCCACTTCTTAAGTACGGGGGCGGGGCCTGGACGAGGGGGCGGGACGTGGGCGCGTTGGGGGCGGGGCCTGGTTGCACGAGGGCGGGGCCTGAGCTGGAGAGGACCGCGGCGATCGGCGGGAGAAGGAAGAACATGGCGGGCGTGGTGGGGACTGGAACTGGCCCAGGAGCAGCGAGCGGAGATGGAGACGATTCACTGTATCCGATCGCCGTTTTAATCGACGAACTCCGCAATGAGGATGTGCAGGTATTGGTCCCAAGCTGGGGATTTGAGGCGGGCCTGGCCAGTCGTGTGGTCGGTAAGTGGGGAGGAAGACCGGCGCCGCGATGGGCAGGCCTGGGTATTGAGGGCCGGGGTTGGAGCAGAAACTTGAGGTGGAAGAGAAAGGCCGGGGAGAGGCTGTGGTGTGTCTGCCAGACCCTCTCAGGGTCCCCTCTCTTGACTCTCTCTCTCTGTTGACCCCCGAGGCCCCACCCCGCCGGGGCTGTAGGAGGAGAACCGGCGCCCCGGGGCCGGGCGGTGGGCGGCGGACGCGGTCACTGGGCGAGTCCGCGGTCGGGGTCGCGGAGCGCGTCCTGGGCCAGGATGCCAGGGGCCCTTTGAAGTGCTAGTGAAATAACTTTCTTCCCGGCTGCGATTAGAGCCGAAAGAAACTGGCCGGACTTGTTGGATGAAATGAGGCTGAGGAGGCTCGTAAACCTAGAGGAGCTGGTTTATTACCTCCGATGGAACTCTACTTTTGTCAAGACCGAAGTTGTATTTAACCGCCTCCCCTGCTTCACGGCCGCCAGTGTTCTCCCTCCTTGAAGTTAATCCACTTCTGGGTGTTGCATTCCTTTTCATTCATTTCTCCTTCGGGCCCTTCCGACTATTTCCCCCAGGACATCTTCCTGCCTCTGTGAGTGAAGCCGAATTGCATTGTCCCGAGGTTCCTCGTAGGCTAATATCTGAAGGAGGAGTTTTCTCTTTCTTACCTGATTCCATTATACGAACCTGTTGGTACTCTGTTCTCTCTTTACTTTTGAATTGCAACCATTTCTTTATTTTATTTACACCTTTTTTTTTTTAAAGCTCCGTCTCAACAGTATTAAGAAGTTATCAACAATTGCTCTAGCACTTGGAGTAGAAAGAACTAGAACTGAACTGCTGCCTTTCCTTACGGGTATGTGATCTTTGTTTAAAGTTTTTTGTTTTTTTAAAAATCTTTTTTATAAAGCCATTTTCCTTTGACTTTAAAACGTAGGGTTCATTATCCACTGTGGTATTATTAAATACTAAATGAAGCCTAATGCTTTCTGTGCAAAAGAAGCAGGACAGAATATATTCTAATATATCCCGACATTATCTTATTCAGATATTATTTAGCTACTAAGGAGAGTAACTGATATGGGAGTATGAATGTCTGATTCACTCTGTAAAAACACATATAGGAAGACTCCGTTGTTTGAAGAGGAAAGAAGAAATCCTATTAGGATTGTGACCTGGTCATCTTTTTTTTTTTTAAAAAAAAAAGACTTAAAAACAACCTGTTGCCATTGAGTTGATTTTGAGTCATAGCTAACCTGTAAGTCAAAGTACACCATCCCTGTGTAATTTCCAAGGCTATAAATCTTTCTTTTTAGATTTATAAACGTCTGCTGCATTTATAAAAGGTCCCTGCCATGTTTTTCTCCCACAGAAGGGCTGAATGAGTTCCAACCAGTAGCCTTTCTGTTAGCAGCAGAGCGCTTAAACACTATACCAGGCAGGCTCTTTTTAGCTATGTTTAGTCTTTCTTCTAGTTTGATATGAGTGTCCAGCACTGGACCAACTCCCCTTATTGATGAGAACCCTCTTGTCTCCTGCAGATACAATCTATGATGAAGATGAGGTGCTGCTCGCCCTTGCTGAACAGCTGGGAAATTTCACTGGTCTTGTGGGAGGTCCTGACTTTGCCCACTGTCTGCTGGTAAGTACTTATACTGCGTCCCCTCAGTGTCAGTGTAGGAGTTGGTAAGATGAAGGGCACATTGTTTGGCCACAATCCCATTGTAGCCCTGTGTGTAGTTCCTTAGGAAAAGATCTTGATCTTTTTATAGGTAGTCATCATGTTAGCTGTTGAAAGAATCAGTAATGTAGACATTCTGAACTCAGTTAACCTTTTCTTATTTTTCCCCCAATATGAATACAAGAACTTTCTCTTTTCTATTCTGACACTGTGAACTAACTTAATAGTTCAGAGGTGAGGAGAAAAAAGATTTGATTATTTGATGAAACAAGGTTAATTTTTGTCTTTGCATTACCATAAAATACATATAACTATTTTACGATGACAGTTTAATGCATTCACAATGTTATGAAACTATATTCATTCTTTCTCAGTAATTGCCATATACTTGAAACCAGCTCGTAGCTAATCCTCCATTGTGTTTTCAGAGGTAGTAAAGTGCCTGAGAAGAGATAGCCTATTTTGTTCCTTGGAGCAACTGGTGGATTCTAACCCCCTGTCTTTGGGTTGGCAGTATAACTCCTTACTGATAGGTCACCAGAGCTACCTATTTTCACTGTTTTTTCTAGAATATTTTCATCATCCCAAATGGAAACACCATAACCAATAGGAGACATCCTCCTTTCTCCACTTCCTGTAGTATGGGTAACTGCTAAACTGCTTCCTGTGGATTTCCCTGTTCTGAGTTCTTCATGTAGTAGTGCTGGTAGTGTTTTTATTGGACATCTGGCTGCTAATTAAAAAGTTGATCCTTTGAACTGGCAACTATATGGGAGAAAGATGAAGCAGTCTGCTTCTTGGAAACCCTAAGGGCCAGTTCTAACCTGTCCTATAGATTTGTCTGGAGTTGTAGTCAATTCATTAAATGAAATGAAAGGTTCGGAGGAGGTAGTTATATGCTAGGTTAAGAATGTGGGGAAGAGCTCCTGTTTATTCAGTACCTTGAGGACAGAAAGGTAGGGTTATTTTCAGAAAAGGAGAAATTATTTAAATGAGTAGATGTGTTCAATGATCTCTTAAAATGATGTCTGTTTTGATTACTTGTGAATCATCACAAGACCTGCACTAGAGATTGCATCTTTCAAGATGGCATCTGATTAGGTGCTTGGTCTTCATGGAACATGGCTGTAGTCCTTTTAGAAGCAGATTGTCAGGATTTTTTCCTGCAGACCTGCTGGGTGGGATGAACTGCCAGCCTTTTGCTTAGCAGCTGAGCACTTAACCATTGCATTACCACTACCAGAGCCATTGTGGTGTTAGTTGCTGCTGTTTTGTCTACATCTCATATAAACCCTAAATAATGGATCTGAACCTTGCCCTGTGCTGTGATGTTCCCGATGATGTGCCATGCTCATCATCTCTGATAATAACACTTGAGCCTGTTGATACAGTCATTATGTCAATCCATTTTGTTGGATAACAATCCATTTTGTTGGAGAGCTATTGGATAAATCTAATACAGAGATCCTCAAAATATATTTCAAATCTGTCCCCTTCATTTTTACTACCACCCTCCATGCTATTTCTGCTGCATTATCACAATAGTTTCCTAGGTAACTTCCTTTTAATCTGTTTCCTATCCACCTTGCAGTTCATCTTCACCACAGAGATGGATCACTTGCTGTTGCTCTTAGGAACTCCAGACTTTGTACTTTCATGTACAAGATACTTCAAGATGTATTTGACCATACCCTTATTTTTCTGCATAGCCTCATTCCATTCATGTTGGTATTCTTTCTTGTTCTTTGAGTAACTCAAAATCATTGCTCTAGGGATTCTCTCCAATGAAATGTTCTTTTGGGCTCCCTGTGGACTTTCTGAGATACTCTCTGTAGGGCTTGTTTCATACCATTCTGTTTCTCTGCAGTGTGATCTTCACACTGTAATTTCTTTTTTTTTAAATTTTCCTACTAGTTTATATACAAAACTTGAGTACAAATTTGAACAAATTGTTTCCCTCATCCCCCCCATCAGATTGTACAACCCACTGATTATCTCACACACACACACACACACACACACACACACCCCGCACATCCATATCCCTCTGCTTCCAGCCTCTCCCACCCTTCCTGGATCCGCATATTCATTCTACAATAACAGTTTTATACAGTATTTATCCTTGTGGGACTGAGTTAGTTCACCCAGCACAATGCTCTCCAGTTCCTCCCAAGTTAGGTAATAATTTACACTATTATTGCTCCTGCGTGCTGCATAGTATTCCATTGTGTGAATGAATCATAATTTCTCAATCCATTCGTTTCTGGTTGTACATTTTGGCTGTTTTCATGTTCTTGCGATGATGAATAATGCTGCTGTGAACATTGTTGTACAAATCTTTGTTTGTGTCCCAGTTCTTGTATTCTCAGGGTATATTCCAAGCAGTGGAATAACTGGGTCATACGGAATTTCTCTGTTCAGCTTTTGAGGAAGCTCCAAACTGCCTTCCAGAATGGTTGCACCATTTTACAATCCCATCCCACCAACAATATCTTCCTCCACTAGAGTATAAACTCCTACCAGAGCAGGGAACTTTTGTCTGTCTTGTTTACTTTTGTTGTATTTGGTATCTAGAATGCAACTATCATTCATTTGTAGCAAAGAGTGGGTGTCATTAGAAGTATAAAATGATTGAATTCTAGGCTTCTCGAGTATAAAGTATTGAGACTGGAGATCAGGGGCTCCGACCAAAAGTGTTTGGACAAGTAGGCAATTTATATCAAGAGAGAAGTAGTGTGCATTCTTCTTGAACTTGGCTTTACCTTATAGTAGTGATAGAAGGCGACCAGGGAAGAAAAGAAGTTCTGAGTAGCCGCGAGACAAATTAAGAAAGTACTTTGTTACTCATTTTCTACTTTTTGTGCATCAGATATTCTGCAAATACATTATTTTACTGATAAGCTTTGACTTACTCTCTGCTTTGGTTCTGTGGTTAGTCCTGTGTTTAATATTTGCAGGTCATGAAAACATTGCCATTGAGGTTGGGACCAACTCTCCATTGGGTTTGTGAGGCTGTAAATTGCAGGAGGGGAGAAACCCATCTTTCTTTTGCAGTGCAGCTTGTGGGCTCAAACCACCAAAGAACTGAGGCCTTTCTGTTAACAGTGTGACTACCTGTGGTCTGTGCCACCAGAACATGATCCGCTTTGAATTTGAATACATATCTTTTAAACCGAGTGATTTGTATCTCACAGTTGATGCTAAATCTACCAGGATCAAATGCAAACCCACAAAGGCAAAGGTTCAGAGAAGTAGTCTGTTTTTTCTTGGCCATGTCTTTCTTGGTTATGACCCAAGGCCTGACTCAGTGACCTTTGATCTCTTCTCCTAAAGCTGTGAGATTCCCTTCCCACTTTGTATTGTTTACATGATGTTGTTTGGTGCCGTGGAGTCGTAGATGACTCATAGTGACCCTATGAATGAATGGCCTGAGCACTGTTCGTACAAATGGTTTCTGGAGGCAAGCCATTTCGGAAGTGGATGCTGCTCCTGCTTTCAGGCTTCATGATAGTTCTATCAAAAATTCCTATAGCTGTGTATCTCCAGGGAAAATTTAGACTACATTTTGAGTTAAGTGACTTTGTACTCAATCTTTTCTAGTTTTGGATTAATGGTGGTAGGTACAGTGGTTACTTGCCCCTCCAGGAATAGTAGAACTAATACCCAAAAAGCTATGGACTGAGCAATCTGAGAAAAATGCCATCATGTAACTGTAGTGCCCAGTGTGGATAGTGCTACTTTTACACTTACTCTTAAAGAAATATACCTGATCTTGTCTGTCTGATTTTGGTTAGATGTATTTTATACCTAGTTATTGAACTCAGTAATACTAATATTGGGTCATGTCTCTTCCACTGTGTCATTTGTAGACACCATCTGGCACTTACCATCTGGGACATGAGGTCTTGGCTGTCCTACAGAAGTCGTGTCTTCAGGTTGGGTGCACCATATGTTCTCACTGTGCGAACTGAACATTACCATTTGGTCTGATGTATTAACATTCTGGTTACATGTACCACCTCCCTTCAGTCACTTTAAAAGGTGGTAATCTGCATAATCTGGTTCAGTAATGTTTGTGGGTTTGTTTTTTTTCTTTCCCTTTTTTGTTTATTCAGCCTCCTTTGGAAAGTCTGGCAACTGTGGAGGAGACAGTGGTTCGAGACAAGGCGGTGGAGTCCCTGCGGCAGATCTCCCAGGAGCACACTCCTGTAGCTCTGGAAGCTCACTTTGTACCTCTGGTGAAACGCTTAGCAAGTGGGGATTGGTTCACTTCTCGCACATCTGCATGTGGCTTGTTCAGCGTTTGCTATCCCAGGGCTTCCAGTGCTGTCAAGGCAGAAATTAGACAGTAAGATATTATATTTATTTGGGATTATTAGGAAATTATCAGTTACTAATTTACTCAATAGACTGTTATCAGTAGTGACTCATGTCTGAACAGTTGGATTGATGGCATTTTAAAAATTTTTAAATCAGTTGAATAACAGGTTTTATTTTTGTTATTTCTATGGCTTGAAGCCTAATCACTGATGTTTGTAAGAGGAAACTTCTAAAATGAGTTGTGTGTAAGTGTTTGCTGGCAGACATATAATCAGACATATCTAAGATGGTAATCCATTCTTTATTGCAGGTATTTTCGTTCTCTGTGCTCAGATGACACACCAATGGTACGACGTGCTGCTGCTTCCAAATTGGGTGAATTTGCAAAGGTTTTGGAATTAGAAAGTGTGAAAAGTGAAATTGTTCCATTGTTCACCAACCTAGCCTCAGATGAACAGGTAAATTAATTAGGTCCTAACACTGAATGTCCAGATAAGTGTCTCTCCCCAAACATTTCAGGAATTTCTTTGATGTTTCTCTCTTAACCAGTCCATGATTTGCTCTTACATTAGTGGCTGTTAAAAAGAGGAAGTTGGAGCCATAATTAGAAGGGAAAGCCAAAGGTGTGTTAAGGGGTAACATACCTTTGGGGATTATACAGTGTATTGTAATAGGGGGAGTGGAGTTTCCTGGAATTTTTTACCCTTCCTCATAATCAGCATAGCATATTCAAGGAAGCTGTTTGACCCAGTGCATTTTCAGTTTATGGAATGACTTAGCATAATTTTAAATCCAAGGATTTGGATGTCTTTTTTTGTATGATAACAATAATAGTTACCATAGCAAACACTTAAAGTGCTTAGTATTTTCTTGCCTCTGTTTTAAATAGTTTACCACAGCGCAATCTCAATATATAGTTTAATGATGGATTATGATAAACTTGTATTTCATCTGTAAAGTAAGATAGAAACATGCATTTCTTTCTCCCACACAATCCCTCTTTCCCTCATTTTCCTAAGAGTAATTATAATTCTGACTTACAGTAATCTTTCTTGCTTTTTTGTATTTTGATTATACAAGTATGTATTTATAAATAATGTAATTAAAAATTCATACAGTGAAATTGGTTATAGGGCATGAATATTCCCACTTAACGGATTTTAAATTTTCTAACTACATTTTAAAATGTAAAAAGAAACAAATTCAATGAAAAAGTACTATATTTTATTAAACCCAGTAAATCAAAAATATTGATTGTCCATATGTGACACTAGCCACATTTCAGGTTCACAGTAGACACATACTGCTTGTACTTAACCATATCGGATAATAAAGGTTTACACTTTTCCCTATTTGATTGCATTTCTCTTGGTTTACTTTTATATTTTCTTTGGTTCCTTTTGTTTCCTACAAATGAGTAGTTGAATTTAGAGAGGGGGTTTGTAGACTTTCTTTAAAGACCAAATAGTAAATATTTTGCATTTTGTGGGCTAGACAGTCTCTGTTGCAGTGACTCAACTGTGCTGTTGTAGTGTAACATAGCTAGACAGTATGTAAACGAATGTGCCTGGCAGTTTTCAGTAACACTTTATTAAAAGTGCATTTGGCTCAGATTTGACCAGTGTTTGTCCTTGCCTCTTTCAAGAGACTTAATCAGACTTAATCAGGTTTATAAGGCCACTTTATGTGTGATGGGAAGCTTTTTATCAAGAAGCATACAGCATCTAGTCCATTTTTGTGACATTAGTAGCAGCTGATAATAAAAAAAATCTTAAGTGCTACATTACCAAATATATGTGTGTTCCCTCTGACTAGTTAGCTAGTCCTAGCTTATTCATGGGTGGGAAAAATGCTCTATGAGGCTTGTAGTCTGTAGCAAGATGTGTTGCTAACAGAAAGGCTGCATATCTCTGGTGGTTTGATTCCACCAGTGTCTCTGACGGAGAAAGATGGGCAGTCTTCTTCCATTGTGACTGTTTTCAAAACCTGATTGAGGGTCGTTATGAGTCAGAACTTGACGTAACAGCAATGAGTTTGAGGGATTTTTTAGTGATACGTAATTGTGCTGCCAATGCAAAGGTATGTGGTTTGAATCCTCCAGCCACTCTGGAGAAAGATGGGCAGTCTCTTCTTGTGCAACTTACTGCCTCTGCAACTCGCTGGAGGGTCACCAATGGGTTGGTTCCAACTCAGTGGTATATAACAACAGTGCTAGGATGCACTATTAAGGTATATGGATCCTGTTCTCTAGTTTACACATTGGTTGAGGAAAACAAATTACACAACACCTTAATTTTCGTGTAGGAATGAAAGATGATGAAAATTAGGGAGAGTGACATGATAGAGGGATGTGGACATTCTTCTAGGATGGCCGGTTAGAGAAGTTCATTAAGGAGGTGGAATGATCACTGATACCTTGCTTGGGGAAGTGCATGCTAGAGCTATAGGAAGAGAAGGCCTTGCCTAAGGCAAGAACAGAGTGGATGAAAGAAGTCCTGGTGAGAGAAGATCTTAGACAGGAAGGTCGTTGTTGTTGTTATGTGCCGTCGAGTTGCTTGCCACTCATAGCGACCCTATGTACAACAGCCCTAAACTCTGCTCTATCCTGTGCCAATCGCACCGTCTCCGATACACCCATCCTGATTACCCCAGTCACTGAATCAATCCACCTCATAGGGTGCCTTCCCCTCCTGCTCTGTCCCTCCACCTTACCAAGCATGATGTCCCTCTCCAAGGACCTGTCCCTCCTTGCAGCATGTCCAAAGTGTGTTAGACGGAGCCTTAGAATCCTTAACTCCAAGGAGCCACCCGGTTTAACCCTTTCCAGGATGAATCTGTTTGTTTTCCTAGCAGTCCATGGTACTCTCAGTACTCTTCTCCAGCACCACAGCTCAAAGGCATCAATTCTCCTTCTATCCTCCTTAGTCATTGTCCAGCTCTCTGATGCATAACCAGTGACTGCAAAGACCATGGCCTGTATCAGACACACTTTAGTCTCCAAAGAGACACCATTAGAGTTTGGATATTATCCCCCTTAGGTGCAAGGAGAATGCGGTGGAAGATCTTCAGCAAGGGTGTGGCATGATATAATACACATTTTTTTCCTATCAACAATCTGCGTTATGCAGATGACACAACCTTGCTTGCTGAAACTGAGGAGGACCTCATGCACTTGCTGCAGAGGGTCAAGGACTGCAGCCTTCAGTATGGACTGAGGCTCAATGTCAAGAAGACAAAGATTCTCACCACTGGACCAATTGGTAGCATCAGGATGGATGGCGAAGAGATTGAGATTGTTCACAGCTTCAGTTTGCTCGGCTCCACGGTCAACACTCTTGGCACCAGCAGCCAGGAAATCAAAAAACGTTTTGCAATGGGAAAGTCTGCTGTTAGGGACCTCTCTAAAGTACTCAGGAGCAGGTGTCTCTTTGGAGACGAAGGTGCACCTGATACAGGCCATGGTCTTTGCAGTCACTTGTTATGCATCAGAGAGCTGGACAATGACTAGGGAGGACAGAAGAAGAATAAGCTGTGGTGCTGGAGAAGAATATTGAATGTACCATGGACTGCCAAGAAAACAAACAGATTCATCCTAGAGAGGGTTAAACCAGGCTACTCCTTGGAGGCAAAGATTCTGGGGTTTCGTCTGACGTACTTTGGACATGTTGTAAGGAGAGATAGGTCTTTGAAGAGGGACATCATGCTGGGTAAAGTAGAGGGACAGCGCAGGAGGGGAAGACCCTCTGAGGTGGATTGATTGAGTGACTGGGGTAATCGGGATGGGTGTGTCAGAGGCAATGCGATTGGCACAGGATAGAGCAGGTTTTAGGGCTGTTGTACATAGGGTCGCTATGAGTCGCAAACGACTCAAATGGCACATAACAACAACAACAACAACAGTTTATTTACAAAATTCTATTACAAATTAGAACAGATACTTTCAGTTTCCCTCACTACCCCCCATCAAATTGTGTAACCTAATGATTAATCCTCCCTTCCCCCTGCACATCCAGATCCCTCTGCTTCCAGCCTCTCCCACCACTCCTGGATCCTTATACTCATTCTACAATAGCCAATATTTTGCTTATGGGACTGAGTTAGTTCAGTCAGCGTAATGCTCTCCAGTCCCTCCCGTTAGGTAATAATTTACAAAATTACTGCTCCTGTGTGTTGCATAGTATTCCATTGTGTGAATGTACCATAATTTCTCAATCCATTCATTTGTGGTTGGACATTTGGGCTGTTTCCATGTTCTTGTGATGGTGAATAATGCTGCTGTGAACATTGTTGTACAAATCTCCGTTTGTGCTTCAGTTCTCATATTCTCAGGGTATATTCCAAGTAGTGGAATAGCTGGGTCATATGGAATTTCTCTGTTCAGCTTTTTGAGGAAGCTCCAAACTGCCTTCCAGAATGGTTGCAACATTTTACAGTCCCACCAACGATGTGTAAGAGGTCCTCTTCAACAATTATAACTTGCTGCCATGTAACTTTGCCACTTTTATTGGATGAGACCTCATTGTGGTTTTGATTTGCATCTCTCTTCATGTCAGTGATTTGGAGCGTTTCTTCCTCCTGTGTATGTTTGCCATTCGAATATCTTCCTTTGTGAAAATTCTTCCTGTTTCTTTTGTCCATTTGGTAATTGGGTTATCAGTCTTTTTCTTGCGGAGGCCCAGGAATATTCTGTAAACTTTTGTTATAAGACTTTTGTCTGAGATATATACATTTTAATAGAACATTCCAGATGGAATCTAAATTGTTAATGGGCAAGAATAGAATAGGAAGTCTAGGACACTGTTGTGATAATACAGGTAAGAGATGATGATAAATGAATTGGCAGTAAGAATCTGGAAAGAATCTGGAGGTAGAATCAGTATTGTTGTTGATTGCCTTCAATTCGAGCACAACTCATAGTGACCCTAGGAACAAAAGGCCTGAAGCCCGTCTACAACTATCGACATTTGTGAAAGTTCATAGAGTTTTGGGAGGCATGTTTAGGAAGTGGATGATGTTGTTATGTGCCATCGAGTCTCCTGTAACTCATAGCAACCCTATGCACAACGGCCCCCCCTGCTCTATACCACGCCAATCTTAATATCTCTGACACACCTATCCCCATTACCCCAGTCACTGAATCAGTCATTGAGGGTCTTCTGTGCTGTTCCTCTACTCTCCCAACCATGACGTCCCTCTCCAAGGAATGATCCCGCCTTGCAGCATGTCCAAAGTATGTTAGACGAAGCTTCAGAGTCGTTACCTCCTAGGAGCAGCCTGATCTCACTCTCTCCAGGACAAACTTGTTGTTCTCCTAGCAGTCCATGGTATATTCAGTACTTTTTTCCAGCACCACAGCTTAAAGGCATCAATTTGCTTTCTGTCATCCCTAGTCATTGTCCAGCTTCCTGATGCATAACAAGTAATTGAAAGAACTATGGCCTGGATCAAGTGCACCTTAGTCTCCAGACTGACATCATTGCTCTTCAGTACTTTGGAGAGGTCTCTGATAGCTGACTTTCCCAATGCAATTCGTCTTTTAATATCCTGGATTCTGGGGAGGGAAAACAAGCCAAATCACTTAGATGTTAGAAAGATTCTGTTAAGAAGGAGGAGCATGTGTAGGGGAAAAAATTAGGAAAAGAGATGTCATTTATTAATTTAACAATTGGTGATTTGCATGTATTTCCATAGATAGTAGTTGTTGCTTGATTTTGTATCATATTTGGGATTTAGAAATACATGTAGTTAATAGCTCCTGGGGGGCGGGGGAATAGCTTCTGTGAAGAGAGTAGTTTCATATGTTCATTAGGATACAAAGAGCGAGTGTGTTTTAGGTAAGATGGGCAGTCTCAGCTGTGAGTAGGATTTGACAGTAATAGTTTGTTGTATTTTTGAAAAGTTAGTTCTTAGTCATTTCGCATGTCAGTCTCTACTATGATCTATCAAAGTTGAGTATCCCTCTCTCTGCCTTATCTCTGTTGTCTTTCTACTCTAATCTGTTAGAAAAGAATTTGTACAAGTATACTCGTAATTTTTATTTTTTCAGCTTCCTAGTATCATATGTTGGAAGGAGGAGTGGCATCCACTTCCGTAATAGCTTGCCTCCAGAAACCCTATGAACCTGGAGAGAGGATGAGAGACACCCATGAGTTGAGGACTCTCCTACATAGGGTCGCTGTGAGTCATCTGCAACTCGACAGCACTTAACAACAACAGTATCATATGGCTTAGTATACATCAATCCAAATACTTTTCTTTTTCCTCTTAATATTTAAGTTTTTTTTTTAAAAAAACACACAACAGTAAATCTCAACTAAGGTATGTGCTCACCCACTAAATGAAGTTTTTTTTCTATTTTTTACATTTGACTTATCCTTTTAGACAAAGGGAGCAGCTGTTTTTAGACAGAAAGGCCTGGAACTATAGGGGGTGATTGTTTCTTTGAACAGCCACCACAGTGCTGCCCCTTCACACATGCCACATTATTGTTATAGGTGGTCTTGTGTTGATTTCAACTCACTGACTCTGTGGGTCAGAGCAGAGCTGCCCATAGAGTTTCCTTAGCTGTAGTCTTTTTAGGAGCATGTCCTTAGATCTTTTCTCCTCCAGCAGAGTGGTGGGGTGGCTCTAAACCCCAGCCTTTTCAGCCCTATTCAAATGTATCATTGCTATACCGCCAGGGCTCCCTGTATAGGGTCACTGAGTCAGAAGAGACTTGATGCCATCAACAGTAAACGCACACTCTGTGACTCCGAGTAAATACTGTTTGACTAACAAAGACATTTTGTTCCTTTAGGATTCAGTGCGCCTGTTGGCTGTGGAAGCTTGTGTTAGTATTGCCCAGATACTGGCTCAGGATGACCTGGATAGTCTGGTCATGCCTACACTGCGACAGGCAGCAGAGGATAAATCTTGGCGAGTTCGCTATATGGTAGCTGACAAATTTTCAGAGGTAAAATTATTGCACTGCCATTTTTTAAGTACTAAAACCTCCCCAAACCACAACTCAGCACAAACATAGATTTATTGTTACATCAAATGTCTTCGATATAATTTTTCTGAAAAGGAGATGTCTGAGCCCAAAGGGTCATGCTTTTGTTCTTCTTCATTATTTTGTTAATGTTTCTTAAAACCTCAATTTTTTTTTATAGCTCCAGAAAGCTGTGGGTCCTAAAATCACCCTAAATGACCTCATCCCCGCCTTTCAGAAGCTCCTTAAAGACTGTGAAGCTGAAGTCCGTGCAGCTGCTGCCCACAAAGTGAAAGGTTAACGAGTTCAGTTTATGTTGCAACATTTGTCATTCATTTTGGTGCAGTTTTTTAAATGTTAGAGAATTTTACATTTGTTTTGTTCCACAATATGTTTTTCAAATAAAAAGAGATGAATTCAGTGTGTAGAAATGTCACACTGTTAAATAAAACTGCTTCCTTAATATTTCAAGCCAAACAGCCATTTTATTTTATGTTTACGTTTTTTAAAAAGGCTTTTCCAGGTTGGCTCAACAGTGGTACACAAATTGAAGAAACAAAAGGGCAGCCAGACTGAGCTGTTTTGCTTAGATTCTTTTTATAGGCATATTACTTGATTTACCTTACAATTCATAAACCTCATAAATTTTCTCTTTACATAAACATTTTTTTTATCTCTTTTAGAACTTTGTGAGAACTTACCCACTGATGGTAGAGAGACCATAATTATGAATCAGATTTTGCCATATATCAAGGTAAACCCCAATTTTAGTTTATCTTGCTTCACTCTACCATATATGGTGAACCTTACCTCAGAAGTGTTTGTTTTTGTTTCACTAAAATTCTTTGTGTTTAAAGGGAGAAATGGGGAGAATAGGGCAGGGTGTTAGTTGCTATTTGCCATTTACTAGTGCTATATAATTATCAACTGTGTCATATTTTAGCCTGACTAAGGAAACATAATCAACTCTCAATATTGAATAGTACTGCATTTTTTTAATTCCTTGGGAGAGGACATGGAACTTACTGCTGACTTGCAAAAAAAAAATAAAAAGACTTAACCATTTGTTTTATTTTAGGAATTAGTTTCTGATACAAATCAACATGTCAAATCAGCTCTAGCTTCTGTAATTATGGGATTGTCTACCATTTTGGGCAAAGATAATACTGTTGAGCACCTTCTACCTCTTTTTCTAGCTCAGTTAAAGGATGAGGTAAGTGTGGCTATAAATTCTGTTCCTTTGATAGAGTTGTTGATGAGTGGATTTTCGTTTGGGGTTTCATTAAAGTAGGACCTGACAAAGGGAAGTAAGGATTTAAAAGTGTAACCTGTTTTAAGCTAGGGACAGTCCCTTTGTTTGAGTATGGGAGACGTATAGGCTCCCAACAATGAGGCATAGGAACTGAAACAGATTTATAGATGTCTGTCTGCACAGTCTACATGGTATATTTACAGTAACTCATTATCTTTCACCTAATGTATATTTTAAAAATTTTTACAGAAAATATTGATAACATTTAATGGATAATTAAGAAGCTCTATTGGGCAGTTGACTGCTAATCAAAAAGTCAGCAGTTTAAACCCACTACTTCCTCTGCAGAAGAAGAAAGGACTTGAGAAGTCCAGCCTTGAGAACCCTGGGGGGGGCAGCTCTACACTGTCCTGCAGTCAGTGGTTTTGGCATTTTGTTTATTGACTAGTGTATGCACAAAGCTCCTACTAGGTGGCCTACCTGTAAGGAGTTGTGTGGACAACCCAAAGGCAGTCAGTTGGAATCCACAGCAGCTTTTAGGGAAATAGATGGGCATTCTCCTACCGTGCAATTTACAGCCTCTGAAAACCCACTGGAGGGCCATCTCCGAGTTGGTTCCAACTCCACAGCACTTAATAGAAGCGTTGTCCTAAGTGTTTGACATGTGTTCTTTACATGTAATCCTTATTTCATATAATTCCCATAATAATAAACAGGGAAGTTAAGGCACAGAAAGAGAAAATAACTCGTATCCGAAGTATCTCAGTCGTTGTTGTTGTTATGTGCTGTTGAGTCACTTGCGACTCATAGCGACCCTATGTACAACAGCCCTAAAGTCTGCTCTGTCCTGTGCCAGTCGCACTGTCTCTGACACTCCCGTCTTAATTATCCCAGTCACTGAATCAATCCACCTCATAGAGGACCTTCCCCTCCTGCGCTGTCCCTCCACCCTCCCAAGCATGATGT